AAAAAAACCAAAAACATTCCGGGCGCGGTGTCTCACGCCCGTAATCCCAGCACTTTGGGAGGCCAAAGCAGGTGGATCACCTGAGGTCAGGAGTTTGAGACCAGCCTGGCCAACACGGTGAAACCTCATCTCTACTAAAAATACAAAAATTAGCTGGGCGTGGTAGCACGTGACTGTAATCCCAGCTACTCCGGAGGCTGAGGCAGGAGAATCGGTTGAATCTGGGAGGCGGAGGTTGCAGTGAGCCGAATCACGCCACTGCATTCCAGCCTGGCGACAGAGCAAGACTCCATCTAAAAACAAAACAAAACAAAAACTTAGCTGGGTGTGGTGATGGGAGCCTGTAATCCCAGCTACTCGGGAGGCTGAGGCAGGAGAATCACTTGAGCCCTGGAGGCAGAGGTTTTGGTGAGCTGAGATCGCGCCATTGCACTCCAGCCTGGGCAACAGAGCAAGACTCTGTCTCAACAACAAAAACAAAGACAACAAAACCAGGACCACCTCTGGGTTCACTGGGGCATCTGCTTCCCACCAGAGGGCACATGCAGGACAGGGAGGCAGGTGAACCTTACTTCCTAATAGAGTGTCCCCTAGCCCCACCACTTTGCCTGGACCTAGTCACCTTGAAACCCTGGTTCTGCCTGAGGACAGGGAGATGGGACCAGGTTGCAGCTTCTCCTGAGCCCCCTTCCAGCATTTGACTTCTGTGCCCACCACACAGCCCTACCGTGGACCTTCCCAGCCCACACACACCTGCATATGGAGGACCCTGCCTGCATTTTGCAACCCCAGGAAGCGAGAGGAGCCCCCGGGCCTGCGCCCAGCTTCGTCAGAACAGAGCCTCTCTCTTCCAGGTGTGGGGCATTGGCTGTGAGGACCGAGCTGTGTACTTCCGGCAGGGCGTCACCCCCAGCGAGCTCAGCGGGAAGACCTGGAAGGCCATCGTCGCGGCCCGAGAGTGTGACCGGTCACACTCCGGCAGCTCGTCTAGTCTCCTCAGGTGACCAGGGACGGCAGGCTGTGCAGGAGCCAGGCTGGGACGGGCTGTCTGAGCCTAGGTGGTCACGTCCAGAAGAGTCTGCCACCTGCCCCACTGGGTCCCGGGACTTGTCCCAGGCAGGAGAAAATGGGTCTTCACTCACAAGAGCCACAAGAGCCGAAGCCCTCCTGCCTCGGTCCTACAGAGAGGGGGTCCTGGGGGCAGCCTGGGGTGGCCACTGGAGGTGTTGGACGCACTCTGGGCTGCTGGTGGTGGCACTGGGAGTAGGGTAAGGCTGGGCCGCCGTGATGGAGGTGAGGCTCGACCCTGATCTGGGTTACCCCATTGGGTCCAAAGGCTGAAGATCTGGGGCAGAAACAGTTCTCTGGGATAGAAGTAAAGACCCCTCTGTCCAGGGTAAACAAGGACAGGACAGAGGGGCTCTGCCTAGCCTGCAGCAGTGGTCTCAGACTCAGGCACCGGGGTTGCCTGGAGGGTTTGTTCAGACTCTGATCTCCGGGTCTCACCCCGAGTTTCTGTTTGAGACTTAGTATTTCTCACCCCTGGGTGATGCTGCTGCAGTTCCGGGGCCGCACCTGGGGGTCCGTAGGTCTAAAGAGCGTGGACAAGCCCTAGCTCTGCCCACTGGCCGTGAGAGCACAGGCAGGCGACTCTGTGGATGAGCTGGGGACAGCTCAGCTCTGCAGTGGGAATGTTCACATCACGGGCGTGGATGGAGATGGCGCTCAGGGCCCGGGCTCTGCAGCCGTCCACGTTCCCACCTGTAGCTGTGACCCTCCCCAGCCCCTGGTCCACACCCCTCTGTGCCCTGAGCCTGGTGGTTACCACCCTGCTGTGCTGTCAGCCCAGAGGGTCAGGGAAGATGACCAGGGCAGGTGTTTGCTCATGTGTCACCTGAGGGTTTAGTCTGCTCAGATGGTAGGTGGCATTTTGGTTTGTTTTGTTTTGTTTTGAGACAGTCTCACTGTGTCATCCAGGCTAGAGTGCAGTGGCGTGATCATGGCTCACTGCAGCCTCAAACTCCTGGGCCCAAGTGATCCTCCCACCTCAGCCTCCCAAGTAGCTGGGATTACAGGTGTTCACCACCACACCTGGCTAATTCTTGTATTTTTAGTAGAGATAGAGTTTCACTATGTTGGCCAGGCTGGTCTTGAACTCCTGACCTCAAGTGACCCTCCCACCTCTGTCTCCCAAAGTGCTGGGATT